CTCAGTTTATACATGCTAGCCTTTTTCACAACTGCATTTCAGCCTGTAGACAACACCTGCATGCAATAAGACAAATGTATAATTCAGCTAGATTCACAGATGGTACAAAGTCTGTGTAATGTCCAATTGCTTGCATTTGTTATGTAACTGTATTCACAACAAGCGAGCAGGAATCATGTGTTCTGCCTCCTGCACTGCCTGAACCAAAAGGAGTGTCCAGTAAGGAAAACACATCTGAACCTCACACTCTCTGTTTGGCAGAGAGAAGTGCGAGAAAGAATGACACAGTGATGCTCCTAAAGCTGTAATTTAAAAGTTATTTAGCCACTATCTATCTATCAATTACCTAACACAACGTACTACAAGAAAAAGCTTTTGTGTTTCTGTGCATGGAGTGAAACAGTGGAACAGTTTGAATATGGAATTAAAGCAAAGTCCAAACATAAAACAGTTCAAAAAGAGTTATAAAAATATGATCTTCTCAAACTATAAAGAAAGGGAAATTGTTGAAATTAAGTGAATGTCTCTATTTAAAAAATTTCATGATGTGATATTATAGTATATATTATATCAGAAATCTGTTCTCTATTTTTATACAGATTATATCTGTAAGGAAGCTGACTAAATATTAACTGATAACTTATGGCAAAGGGGTGGGATTAAATAAGGGTGTACTTCTTCCCTTTCAACATGTAAATGAATCAGCAGTAGCAATATTGAAATGTATTGACTTTTGTATAGTATTTTTTTCTCTCTTATTTTCTTTACTAAATGTACCTGTATATTGTTTACATGTTTTAAATAAATTAGCAAACAAACAAACACAAATGGGTCTTCACTTACAGCATGTTGTTCTCATCTGTTTACATTTTGCAGCTGAATTCATCAGAAACAGCAAAAACACTTAAGCAGCTGTTTGATTCTTCTGTATGTGCTGTGATTCGTAGAGCATACTTCCTTTGATGAGAAAGGGATTAAGGTGGTGAAGTTTAAGTGTGACTTCAGCAGAAGTTAAGGACAAATCCTCACATTGTTTTCTTTCTTTGGGTTTACAAGGAAAGATTAATGAATTTGTAGGTGTTTGAAGATGACTCGGCCACATCCAGACGCCTTCCTGACCGCTCCACTAATTACTGCACATGATGTCCTCCTTGTATATATTTACCTAGTTACTGTATATAATCTTTTCTCTCTCTTTTTGCACAGTCGAGGAGCATGTCACGACACATTTCACTGCGTGTACTTGTATAACTATGCACGTGACAAATAAAAGATCTTGAAACTTGAATCTTTTAATAACTAAGCAGCTACTTTAATTGATCAGATTTACCAATAATTTGTGGTTCTTTAATTTTTTCGATATGGTAATGCTTTCTAATCCACCCAACACATATTAGCCACTTAAGATTTATCATTAACAATACCTGTAAATAGATTTGTAAGTTTCCTAATCTAGTAAAGAGAGATAAAACAGACAAAAATGTAATAAAAACAATACAAAAAAGTTAAGCCAAACCCTAACAAATCATGCTGTGAGCATAAGGCAAACACCCACTGTTCCAAAATGCAGCATGTGCCTTTTATCTGCATCGTTCCCCACAGCAGATGGAGTCCAACCCCAGAGCACTTTTATATCCTGGTGACATATTTCTTTTGATAACAACATGCCTGCGAGGAAACCCAAACAAAGTAAGATAATGGAAATCTGCAGTTCACAAAAAAACTGTGTGATCATACACTTCAAGACTAAAGCTTGGATAAAAACGGATACGTAACACTTAGGAAGCTCTTTCTTAGCTGCGAGTCTTGCCTCAAGTATTTGGGTAGTCCACTGGGGATCATCAGTCTGGTAAACGCTTTATCTTTTGTTACACCAGGCTAATGAGAAATGTACATGTTAGCAGAGATTTTCTGGCATTTTTTTAAATGGGGCAGCATGTGGGGCCATCGCAAACTAGTAATAAAGTTCACAGGAACATGTAAAATTCAGTCAAAAATAAATACTAAACCATGCAATATATTCAGCGATTTTAGTTATGGACACAACACTGTCCTTGATAAACAAGTACTGACATGCTCAGTCACAAAATGGTTGCTGTGCTGATTCCTAAACTTCCAACACAAATCATAAAATCCAGTCTGGTAAATATATTCTAGTGAGTGCTGAAACTAAAGAACCATATCTAGCTGTTAAAAAGTCATCTTTCCAAAGTAAAGGGACCAAGCCACTGAGGGGTATATGAGGAAAAGTATGTACTTATTAACACTGAGTGAACGAATCGTTCTTTGATACTTTGATCCCCCAAACCTTTCATGTTTGCCCATTTCTGTACTGATTTGCATTGCCATCACAAGTCAGTATGAGACATTTTGAGTAATCCAAATGTAACATATGAGCAGACACAACTAATCGGTGTATGAACACTTGATCCAACAAGTGGTAAAAAAAAAGAACACTTTCCAATAAGTTACAGCTTACACAGTCACATGATGTTTCCTTTCTTTGCTGGAAAATAAATCCCTAAGTTATTTTTCTGGGAAACTCTTAGTAAAAAAATCTCCATTAAGCAAAAAGACAGTGATTGGTGCCTCCTGGCAGTCGTGTGTTAAAGGCACTCAACAAGTAATCACAGCACTTTTGAGTTAGAGACTCAGAGACTCACACTCAGAATCTGTTTTCCAAAAACCCTTCATCTCTTCTCAATCCCCCACTCCAACTTCCTGGAATCAATACACATGATTGGGGACTTTTTAAAGAGAGGTTTTTTGCAGTGAAATAGTAAAAACAAGTAAACAAAACTAAATCCATGTAATGTTCAGGATGTTCAGAACCTATCTTTAGGATAACTCTCTGTCTCAAATGTACAGCTCACATACAATTTAATAGCCTGGACCAAAGGAGGCAAGAAAATGAACAACCATGAGCAATAACCCCGGGCAATGCATGCACATTTATTTCTCCAGCAAAGCCCAAGGGGGTGCAATGTCACAATTGTCCTCAATTTCCATTTTCTTTGCAGCTGGTTTTAATGGCCACTGAATGCTGGATGTAATGAGACAAGCAGAGACTGTAATATATAGCCAAGGTGAGTGAAATTAATGTCTGCTCCTCAGAGAGAACTCTACATTTTCAGCCACACTAGTAGTGTGAGTCTAGAAATAGAAACTTCACTTAGTTGGTCCATTTGTTCATTAATCTGTCAGTCAAACACTTCCAGGGTGATGTCTCTGAATTGACTCGACTCACTGCTTCTATATATAGAACATAAGGAGCTAATGACATTGATCTACTGGCTATAAATGCATCACACTTTCAATTTGTTCAACATTTAATGTCCTGACACAGGACTGCTTTACAGCTCAGCATATCCCAAGCAGAACTGAATGACCTTTGACATATCCTGCACGGGTGGTGTGGATGGTTTCCCACAGATTTATATTGTGTCACTGGCAAGTATGGATGTGGTCATGCTTGGATGTGCAAGCATGTGGAGAAAAAGGAGGTTCACATGCTTTCTTAAGCTGATTATCAAATAATTCCATTTAGCAATTTCACCATAAAACAATATTTAATATATACAGTCTCTTCAGTATACCTCTCATGCTGCATTTGAACTGTCACTTTACAGTCTGCCAGGGGAAGTCCTTGTTTGTTTCTGCATTGTCCGTAAGCTTAGAACACGGGTATATGAAACAGTTCTCCACCTTCTGCAGGTTCTGGTTGGAGCAGACCTTCAGAAATGGAGAATAAGGACTATCACGGTCACCTGCATGCAGCCAGACATGCCCGTGGTCTGACAAAGACTCCGATTTAACAACAGGAGATTTAAGGCTAAAAAAGAATTTTCTGTTTCCTGTTGTATTATGAGCTGCTCAGCCATTTAAATGCCCCAGAACGGGTCCTTTCATGATCTCCATGTTCAAACAGAGAGGCTCACTCTTAACAGAAGAACCTGTTAGAACATGCGAGGTCTTCTACAAGTCTGAGACTTTAATTTGTTCAGCTCTGTTCTTTGTCATTGTTCTTCTTGTAGTGCACTGTTTTTGTGCTATTATTCAGCTCACTTTGTTCTGTGTATCTCTTTGCTTCTAAATGCTGCCTTAATCCCTTTTCATGTCTCAAAGCAGTTTGAGCTGCTTTACTGTTGAACACTGCTGTAAAATAAACTTGAAAATTGTGAGGCTCATATTTATGCACACTGTGTGAACAGTTTATTCTTTGTTTGATATCATATCCTAATCACACCCTGTATTTATTTTTCCTGCAGCATAAAAGAATCTAACCGTGTATGCTGAGAGCACAAACATCCCTAAAGATAACGTCTGAGCTGACCTATAAACTTTAATGATATGTAGAAGGTTGCTGCACCTTCAGGCCACACTTACTGGCTATGAGACCTTTTTCACATTTCAGTTACTTCTGTTATCTGTTATGCAACAACCTCTCCTGTCTGACAAGCAAAATCTTTACTAAACACCTCTATACTACTAGGAAGCATCCCAAAAATAAGCCCAAAAATTCTGATAGCAAAGTCACTTTCACTTGTTTCACATCAGGAAGTTCTATTGCAGGCTTCGACTAAACTTTAATACTTGCTCTGACATCTTTGACTATATAGTTAAACTCCCATAAATCATTTAATTAAGTGGATGCACCCCAGAAGCCATTTATCCTGCTTTTTGGTTAATTCATTTATCCAACATGGTGTCTGCACTAAAGGAACACAGCTACCGATCATATCTCTAAACTCTGCCTGCAGGTATCACACCAAGTGACACCGAGTCTCCGTGTCATTTAAATGACTTTCAACTTTCTCCACGTGGCTCGATTTTAAGTTATAACTTATTCAAGCAGCTGTAAACTTCCAGATAAAAGTTCTATGCGTGTTTCTAAGTTTGGTAGTTAACCCACAGTGGGATGAGTAACAAATGCATCCTCAATCAGGCAACATGGACGAGATGAAGAAAAAGGAATTCGCTCCATCTCAGTCTTTGCTTACCTTTCCCTCCACTGAGTATCTCCGAGTGTGCTGCGCTGCTCCTGCGCTTTGGTTCATGTTTCAGCACCACGGACAGCTCCAGAAATAAAAAAGGATCCAAATCAGTCCGCAGATCGACAAACTGTAGCTGAGACTCCGCACAGACACCAACTGCCCGATACTTCACCGCTTTGCTTCAAGCTGTTTACTGGTTCGTCGTCTTCCCTGCGACACGCGTGGCTTCTCAGCAAATGATGCCTTGCGCGTAAAGACTTGCTCCGCTGGTGCGCCAGCTGTGAGTGAAAGCGGGCGACACAGCCCACTTATCCCTCACTCACCAAGATAACATAATAAGCTAGGAACAAGCTGTTAGTCGGACAATAAACATAAATATTAAAACTTATAATCCAGCAAAAATATGCTCTTTTCTGATAAACATAACCCGATACTGGACTTTACATGGCAGAGTTACAGGCACCGGAATTAAGCCCTTTCTAAAAACTGAGATAAAAGCTCGTCTTTGCATGGGGAGATTACGTAACATGATAAAACTGATTACAACAGCTTCCTGCATGTTTACAGAGCTGCACATCTGCATAAGACATTTTTATTCGTTTTTTTTAATTAACTGTTTTCTAGCTCCTTTATTTCACTTTCTTTTTCTTTTATCTCATTTTACTTAATTTATTAAATTTAATCTACCGTTATCTATTTTGTTTTCTGTTATCCAAGTTTGTTTATTTTTTGCAAGCGTTTTGACTGCTGTAGTGGATGAATTTGCTCACTGTTGGGGGTAAATAACGTATATTTACTTTCCAATGTTTTTTCAGCATTTTTTGTCCACCCTTGGAAGCCAGAGCCAGTGGCGAGATTTTGAAGAGGGCCAGTCAATCATAACTGCATTACTTTGATTGTAACTTTATTTTAAGAATATTTTGATGCTGAAAAATTTATACCATTCATAATTATCAGGCTTTAGCAGGACTTTTATGTCAGTACAGAGTAATCATTTTTGACTCAGACTGCAAGACAATTTTCAGGCTCTTGTACACTTTTCATCTAATAGGTGTGTGTAAGAGCATGGAGCTCCACAGGAATCTGATAATCATGCCCGGTGTTTTCTGCACCAGATTTCTCAACTTCTCATCTCTGATCAGACTCCCCTGCTTTGAATACCATTTTTGGTTAATGAGGCAGAAAGAATTCAGCATGATTCACACACAAATCCTAACTGACGTGTTAATAATTAAGAACACAGCTACCCAAGGTACCCCAAGTTTACAGCATCAGCGTTGAATGAGTACAAAACTGTTCGTGTTCAGACACAAAATAATGCCATTTGTGGGTTTTTTTATGTGAATCTTTTTTGCTGTGAGCCTGAAAACACACAAAGAAACGACATGAGCAGTTTTCTTTTGATGCCTCCAGATAACCACTCTCATCTTCATGATAAGAACCTGCTAAAAGCTTAAAATAATAAGAGAGCTGTATGACATGTTGACTTTGTTTAATGGGTAAAAGGTAAATAAGGACCTTAATGTAATAATCTCTGACTTGATAAAAGCTGCTTTCAGCTGCTGCCTTATTGACTGCCTCAGCGGGCCCCACATGTTGATCTGGCAGATTTTTTTTTTAGACCAGATCCCATTCCTCATGCAGCCCTAAAGAGATTTGTATCTTCTCCACGGTCAGGCTTATTTAGCATTGCTGAAAATGCACGACTTCTATGTATTGTGTGCACATTTTGTTAGCCTTCGCATATTTAATGCTGTTAAGTTACTTTTTAGCAAACATCTTTTTTCGGCTTCAAACTTTCCTTTTTGCTAAAGCATATAGTTAGGGCTGGACCAGGTGACCCTGAATCCTCCCTTAGTTATGCTGCAATAGACGTAGGCTGCCGGGGATTCCCATGATGCATTGAGTTTTTTCTTTCCAGTCACCTTTCTCACTCACTATGTATTAACAGACCTCTCTGTATTGAATCATATCTGTTATTAACCTCTGTCTCTCTTCCACAGCATGTCTTTATCCTGTCTTCCTTCTCTCACCCCAACGGTCCCAGCAGATGGCCCCGCCCCTCCCTGAGCCTGGTTCTGCCGGAGGTTTCTTCCTGTTAAAAGGGAGTTTTTCCTTCCCACTGTCGCCAAAGTGCTGCTCATAGGGGGTCATATGATTGTTGGGCTTTTCTCTGTATCTGTGAAGCGCCTTGAGGTGACTTTTGTTGTGATTTGGCGCTATATAAATAAAATTGAATTGAATTGAATCTTTCACACTTCACACACCCATTCAACATAACTGGCAGAAAAACTGTCCCACAGTATGATGCTACCTCCCCATGCCTTCATCGTTACTCCTTGGGTAGCTGTTGCCAAATCATTTTTCCTCACCTGACTGTAAAAAAGTTCTTTTTTTTTTTTCTTTGTCCATGTGGTCACCTGCAAACTTTACATCAGCGACAGGCCCTGACACGTCAGGCCCTTCGTTCTTGGAAGGCAGTCTGTCAGGCCACAGTGGTGTCAGACTAGCTTGACAGCAGACGATGGCACTAATGCTCCAGCATGGCAGACTCGTGCTTTGGTGGCTGTTCTAGACCATCCAAACAAATGTTCTCTCAGTGAAGGATGTAACTTCTAAAACAATTTAAGTCTGATGACAGTCTTTATTTATTGTATTTTTTTTAAATTATTTTAATAAATGGCTCCAAGAGAGTTTTCTGGCTTGTAAGATGTCCAAACTTCTTTCTCAGATCTCTGCTGAGCTGCTTGGATATTTCATTGTACTGTGTGTAGGTCAGTCTTATATGTGCAGTGAAACAGAACCCTTTTTAATGCTGACCAGGAGAATCTATCAGCTGTATTCAGCTGTGCTCACTCACAGAAAGTTAAGAGGCTTTGGCACTGACAAGTCAAAAGTCTGAGCACCACTGAATTAATAATGGATGTAGATATATTTTTTGACACTGTTTATTTCATAAAACCTTAAATATAAAAAAAAGTGCAGTTCTGGAGTTTTAAAAAATGCATGTTTAAATTAAACTAAGATTTCACAGAGATCATTAAAAGCCCAATATTGTCAAAACCTTCATGTGCACCTTTCATGACTGCATATAAACACCCAATCAGAAGTGACAAACTGCTTTAATAAGGAAGGATAAGTTGGCATAAATCAGGCCTACACAGTATGTGTTGCTGAGTAATAAAGACTGTCAAACAATTGTTCTTTTTTTATTGCCACTTTTGAGGCATCTCATAGAGCATGAAGAGTCAGGACAGGTGAGAGAAGAGACAGTTTACTTAGTTGAGTGGAAAGACAATGTGAGAACGACGTATCCAAAGGAAGCAGGTAAAATCTTATAAAACTGAGATGGGCAAGATGAGTCAAAGGCTGGCAGAAACAAAAATAGGGCTGCGGTTGAATTTTCAGTTTTGCTCAGGAAAGTTTCTAACATGTTGAAGTGAGCTGGAAGTATCACTGTGGCAGCTGTAATAAGAGCTGTCTGAATTCTCTGAATACTTAGGCAAGGTCCTTCACTGCTTCCTTCACTGCTTCCTTATCTGGACCACTTTTATGAAAGGAAATGTAATTTTTTAGAATACAGAAATGTCCGACTTCTGAACAGTATCTTCATTTATACACTAGATACATGATTGAGGCTCTTTTAACATGAATGACTTTGGACTTAAAAAAAACACAGCAGACCAACGACTAGCACCAGCACATCACATGTACCCCAAAATGCTAAAGACCAGACTGGACTTCGAGCACCTTGGAGTCTGTGCCTCTCCACTCTTTGATTGTGATTTCTGAAAGAACTGTAACATTTAGTTTCATCTGAAAAAAGAACTTTGGACCACTGGGCATCAACTTTTTCACCTTAGCCCAGGTGAAACACTTCTGTAGGGGTGTGACAGTTGTAGCTCCTGTCCTAAAGACATCTTTGTGTAATGGATTTTGATGTTCTGACACCAGCCCCGGTTCACTCCTTATGACGTTCTCCCAAATTCTTGGATCACTTTTTATGAGAAACCTCTCAAAGCTGTGCTTGTTTCTGGTGCCTTTACATCTTTGTTGAATTAAATTACAAACAATAAATAATGTGCTTTTTGAATTTTGAATGCAGTCAGATTCTCTGAGGTTCTTTTTGTTCCTAAGCCCTTATAAATTCATCACATCTGTCTTGACCTTGATGAAAAACATCATGATAATTATTTTTGACTGTTCGACCATAACCAAGTGACTCCAGTGGCTGGTCAGGTGGTGCAAAGTGATTGTAGAAATACTAGTAAAAATAGTATCAGGTTAGTGTATACCTACATAACAGCATCACAAAGGTAGCTATGAATCATCAGGGATAAACCAATGACAGATCTTGCTGATGAGACTCGACGTGGAGCGTCTTGATTATATGTATGTCCACGGAGACAAAAAGCCAGGAGATAAACCCCTGTGGAGTTTGTAGGCTCGCGATAATGTGGGGAGGGTGGAGGAAAGCCAGCAGGGAGGAAAGATTTAACCTTTCAGGTGAACCTCCTTGAACACGCTGAAGGGCGTGTGGATATATGGAGATGGAGGGGTGTGCAGTAGCAGGTCTGAACGTCATTAGAAAATATATCAGCTCTAAGAATGAAAACACACTTAGATGTAAGATGTGGATGAGAGGAACCATGGGAATGTCTTGGAAATCTTTAGGAAAATGTATTATTTTTGTACAGAAGAAGCCAGTATAGACAATATTTGCATAAAGCAATAAATAATCAGATAAATGTAAATTACACTTGACATGTAGTGCACCTGTGCTTATTTTCATTATAAAGTGAAGCTGCTCATTGTCACTTGTATGTAAATGTATATTCTGAAATCTAAATTAAGATCCAAAGCGACTGACAGAAACTGAAACTAAACCACATGAGAATAGTTTTTCATTAATAAGAAGACCCAAAAACATCAATGCAGCTTTAATTTATGCTAAATGCTCACAGATGTTGGAGGTAAGACACAATATCATTACACAGCAATGTCTCTGGAAATAAAGGAATCTTTCTAACCCACCTTCTGTACTATAACATGGTGTAGCCTTCAAAAATGTTATCAACTGAAGAATAATTCTTCTTCTTTAAAACTATTGCAAAATGTTTCCTGAATAGGCAACAGTGTGCTTATATTCCCTAGATCTCTGTTCCCAAACTGCCCCCCCCTGGTGTTACTTAACCCTTTCCTCCCTGGAAGTCTC